AACATCATTATCAGTAATCCCATTATCACTATCATAATCATCGCCACAATCAGATTTATCATCATCATCATCATCATCATCAAAAACAACTGTATCAACAACATCATCATCAACAACACCATCAACAAAAATTTCAATAAAATTTGTATCAATAAAAACATCATCCTCATCAACAAAAACATCAACAACAATAACATCAACAATATCATCACCCCCACCAACAACAACAAAAACATCATCATCATCAACAAAAACATCATCATCATCATCATCAACACAAAGATCAGCAACAACAACAACATCAACAATATCATCACCCTCACCAACAACAACAAAAACATCATCATCATCATCAGTAGCAGTAGCCGCAACAACAACGCCATCAGAAACAACATCCGCTAAAATCGAACGTAAAACATTTGTTTATTAATAAACAACAACAATAATAATAATAATGAACAACAATAATAATAATAATAAACAATAATAAATATAATAATAATAATAAAAATAATGATAATAATAATAATTATAAACAATAATAATAAACAATAATAAACAATAATAAACAATAATAGTAATAATGAACAACAACAACAACAATAATAATAATAATAAACAGTAATAGTAATAATAATGATCAAAAAAACTTACCTTTATATTTCAATTTCGAAGTTTTGACGGACGAAAATTCTGCCTCATATTTGCTGTCTTTGTTATCATCTTTGTTGTTGTTGTTGTTGTTTTTGATGTAGTTGTCATAGGGAGATGTCGATGATGATGGCGATGATGTCAAAACTTCAAAAGTTTTGTCTTGATGTTGTTGTTGTTGATGTTGTTGCTGTTGTTGTTGTTGATAATGTTGTTGTTGTTGTTGATAATAGTGAAACGTGTGTGGTTGATGTTGTTGTTGATGTGATATTAGGTGATATTTTTGTTGTTGTTGATGATGTTGTTGTTGTTGGTGATGGTGGTGCAACAAAGAGTTATCTAGAGTTTTAATTGAGTTAAATTGAATTGATTTAATCCATTTAAATCATTTATTTAATCAAAACAAAATCCTTCAACAAT